TTTCCTCCTCTTTAACGAGCTTTTTTCAAAATTGCTTAAATATTGATATTTTTTGAGTTATTAACGAAAAACTGAATACCATTTTTTTAAATCTTATTTTGTTAATAACAATTGCAATTTTTTACCTGCACCAAAATCCTTCAAAAAAATTTTTCTAGAGGTGATTCATATCATATCATATTTTTCATTCATATCATCATATTTTTAGGACCTTTATCTCTATTTTTCATGTTTTTGAACTTATTGATTAGACTATATTTCACATGTAGATGTCTTACTGAAATGGAAATAATGTAGACATTACTAATCAGAAATGAAGAAAACGATTTTGTCGATAATTTCCGACATTAGCATCGAGGAGATAAGAAATGATTTTACTCAGAAATATACGCTATTCACTTTGTCAACAGATATTAACAATATGTGTTAATCATTAAAATAAAGAAGAATTTCCAAGGTTTAGTCAACTGTGAAAAATTCTTAAAAATTATATAAGCTGGACCCTTGAGTAGTAGAATAAGTAGATTTATAATTGCTATAGTTGAAACTATCTCTCAACAGCGGATATTTTAAATGTTCCGTACTTCCCACTACTGGGTTGGAAAACTAATTGAGAAGGATTGGTTGAGAGACAGATGTATTGTAGAGAAGTTATCGTCAGTTCATACATATTTCTGGAAAATAGAGAGACGTGAATCACTCATTTTGAAATTTCATGAACACATAATAGAGAATGTGGGATCAAAACTTTTTGGTTCACGAAATAAAAGAAGATAAATTGGTGAGTTAGTGGAATGAAGAGGAAAAAGATATATTCGACATACCAGCTGAATCCATGTCATATACTTTTTCCACCATAAGTATTTTTGGTATTTAGGACCTAGGGCTGCCAGGAAATAGTAGAAGTACATTACAACATGTACCAAAGAGTTCAAAAATCCTATGACGACACCTTGTTCACCTGGAAAAAATTGATTTATCAAGTAATGAAATGATAAACAACATGAATGAATGGCATTTGTATGTTTACTTGTTTGCTTGTAACCGTTACAAGAGGACCGATTAGATGTAATAGCAAACTCTGGATATTCTCCTTCTTTTGATATTTCAGATGATATAATCGATATCGTATACTCGTGAACGAAAATATCACTGATTATTAGAAAACAATTTTCATTTTCTCTCCATTCAATAAAACACAGTGATTTTGCTTCAAGAGTTTTTTTGTTTTTGATAATATAATACTATTTCATCAGTTCGGACTTCCATTGTCTAATATAATATAAATTGATTTGAAATCCCTGAAAAAAAAACAAATTAAAAAGGATTAACCGATTTTCCCCATGAAAATGGCCTTATGAGCCGAAACCGGTCGTAATGAATAAATAAACACAGTAGAAACTAGACAAAAGTATTTTCTTTATTCTATATTCAACATGAATTTCTACAAAATAAATAAGTCATCAATCGAACACCATACTAATAAGGCTCTGGTAGCTAAAGAGAGCATTGCAAGTTCTATATCAGTACATTTTTATGAAAGTATTATTAAATTTCCTCTACTCAGTTATAGTTCGATTAGAAATATTAGCACATATTGAATATGCATCGATAACAATGGGTATTCTATAAATTTGGAATGTGAGTATATGAGAGTTCTCCAACTGAAAAATTGAGAGACTTTGGCCTAGTGAGTTTTATTCAAATCGAATTGACTCTTCGCCAAAACCTCGATATATGTAATGTTTCGAAAATGTTTGTATTTTGGTGGCTTGAGTGGAAATGTTATCCTGCTATACGCCTGAGCAGTTGGGTGCAATTCCATCCTGATGTACGACAATGCACGATCATACGTTGAGGTAACTATTTTTTGCAAGGTAATGAAATAGACGTATTACTATGGCCTGCAAAATCACCAGATCTTAACCCAATAGAGTATGCATGGGATATGCTCCAGAGAATAAGAGGCCGTGGTAATTTTGAAAACGGCTTAGAGCTGTTTGATGCCCTTCAAGTCGCCTGGCAAGAAATACCTCAAAGGTACCCAGAAAATTTAATTTCAAGTGTGCCCAGAAGATGTCGAGCCGTTTCGAGTAGACGCGGAGGACAGACTATTTACTTGCTCTTTACTTTCGTTGAAAATACTGGAACTATTCCAGTAATCTAAATTTTCATCTTTTTTATATTTCCTATCACGTTATATTATATTTTTGTAACCATTTGTATACAAGTGGTAACATTGAAATATCCGAAAATTATTTATTACGGCGAAAAAAAGACGAAAAATTTTTAATTTCAGCAAAAAATATCCAATATCCCCAGATCATTACCATGTTTGCTATTTAGTTGATTTCTTACTTATACTCGAGCGTCAAAGAGACATATTAGGTTGCAAAGCTTAGATGATAAGAAGAAAAAATGTTATATAATATATACCTTTTCATCGGTGGGGAAGCGGCTATAAAAAATATTCGAAATACTGGAACACTTCATAAAACGAACGACAAGAAACCGATTTTGAATAACAGAAATGGCTACATTGATGGACCACTTGAAGTGACCAACCACCTTGGGTGTCTTCAGTCTAAGAAAATGAACTACATGCAATAAGAGTTACAAGCAATAAGTATTTCTTACCTGGCAAAAATTTCAAATATCCCCACGAAAAAAACATTGTACAGGCATGATGGTAGACGTGAAGAAATGTGACTTGAGATTGTTTTTTCCTCAGTACAAAAAATACGGTATCCATCAACTCAACAATTTTTGAAAAGAAGTACCACCAAGCTCCATTCGATAACTGGAAAAATCAACATTAGAACTCTTCGAATTTTAAAGTGAAGTATATACGTGGACTGTTAAAAAAATCAGGTGATTGTTTAAAAATTTCGCTGTGTTCCTACATTCGATTGACGATATTTCAATTTTTTTTGAGTTGGTACACCCGTTTCAAATATATGTTCATAGTTTCAGCTGTTTAGCATAGTTAGTTTGTTGGTTAGATGCATAAAAGTTAGAAGTGTTTTGCGTCATCGTCGATTTTGAGCTATCGCAAAACATGGATCAAATAATTTGCATCAAATTTTGTGTAAAAAATGGATTTAGGTGCTCAAAAATACTCGAAATGTTGACAGTGACATACTATGAATAAGCTCTGAGTAAGGAAAATGTTTACAAGTGGTTTACAGACTTTTACAGACTTTTCACAGTAGGCCCTGGACGCCTCAGCAAATCAACAACCGATGAAAATGTTGAGAAACTGTGGAAAATTGTTATGGAGAATCGTCTTATTACTATTAGAGACGTTGATTGTGATGTCGACATATCGTTTGGTTCGTGCTATACAAGTTTTTTGGGAATATTGGACATGGAGCATGTGACAGCAAAGTTCGTTGCAACATTGCTAAATTTTGAAGCATCGCTCAGAAATTGTTGAATGACGTCAACGGCGATCCAGATTTGCTTGAATGGGTCACAACTGGTGAAGAATCATGATTATGATATCGAAACAAAAATCCAATAGTTCCAATGGAAGGGCCCAAGAGAGCCAAGACCAAAAAAAAAATCCTTTCAATTATCACCCTTTCTGCTTATTTTATTTCTGATGATTATTATATCATGGTCTACAGAGAATTTTGAAAAAACGGAAAACAAGTTGCGGCAGTCAATAAATTTGGAGAGTAGTTAAAGTTAGTTTTTATGTTAAGAAACAACCTTTTCTGGATGTGGCGCCACTTGTTTTGATTTTGCTGAATTCAAGGAATGAAAAACACGCATGGATCAGAAAGTTATTCAATAGTTACTTCAGACTAAGACTTCAAAAATGTGATAAATATGATAGCTGTGATAATTTGATGCCGATATAGCTGCAAATTCATACAATTTTTATCACAGCTAATGAGTGATTTTTTGCTGGTATTTTTTGGCAACACTGTTTTTGACAGATCACGCGTGAATCGTTTCTTGTGTCATTGTCAAACTTGTTCAGTTTGGTCTATAGTTTAACCATGAATCGACTTAAGGCTAGTTCATGTTGGAACGAATATCGCATAAAAAGTGCGATTTAAAATGGCGTCGTGTTTATCGTAAAAAAGTTGAAAAAATCGAACTTTTTTGCGATTTCCGCAAAATTTTATACGTCAACATACAATGAGGTTACATTGCTATTTTATTTTACTCTCGTTTTTAAAGACTATACATCGAAATTGAATTCGAATTGGACGAATGTGTCAGGTTGTTTAAATTATATCAACGTTACCGAATATATACAGCTCCATTGAGAAAACCACGTCATTATGGCGTGATAAATATTTTGAAAAACAGAAGAAAATATGGAGAATATCACAACCTTGTAGCTGAAATCAGAATTAGTGATCTAGAGAAATATTTCAACTATTTCAGGCTGACTCTCCCATTATTCAATAAATTATTGAATTTGGTTGGCCCTTCATTAAAGAAAACTCATTTTGCTAAAGAACCCCTCACCCCTACATTTAAGTTGGCTGTAAGGTTAAGATAAGTGGTTTGAAGACACGCTCCTATTAAACAAAACTTGAGTAAATTGTCAATCCTAATTTCTGATATGATGGGGTCTGGTCGTAATTCGTAAGTCATCATTCAGGTTCATGTAATAAAATTTAAAATTCAACAATAAAATCCCTAGATATTACTCGTTTCAACATGAACAGGGTATTTTGACAATTGGGCCAAATTTACGGAAACGCAAAAATATTATCGCAATCGTCCTAATATGAACTCGTCTTTACGAATGAACAACGCTTGCAAATTATTGAATTTTATTATTAAAATTCATGCTTGGTGAAAAAAGTGCATCGTGCACTTTTTCCAATTTATCGGCAGTTTCGTCGGCCTACTGAGGGAGCTATTCGGAAGCTTGTGACTAAATTTCGAACCCAGTTTATATTGTGTGACATTAAACCACCAACATGCATACGTAGAGTGAGAATCGAAGAAAATATTGAGGATGTATCCGCAATGTTCGTGGCAATTGGGCCTCTGTTACTTCACCCGTTATATGAGAATAATATTTCAAACATGTGTTGCATATGAAATTGATTTAAAAGGAAGTGATCAAATAGAAGGTTGAACTCTGAAAAATAAGTAACTTTAAAATTGAAATGTGAATGGTTGATTTCAGAACTGAAAAATGGTAGTTGGTTACGAAAAAAAAATGAAATTTCAATTTAACCGTACTCAATTTTTTATTTTTGGAGTTGGAAATCTCCAATCATTCACTTTCGTTATAGAAGACATTAAACTTCTCTTCTCATTTCACAATCAGACAGTTCTCAAGTTTCTGAAACAAGGAAATGAAAGATCTGGAAGTATCCCCTAAAACTGTTTGAAATGAAAATGAAAAATCACTTTCTAAAAATAAAACATCAAGCATGGTCAGTTCCAAAACGGACACTTTGTATTTATTGATATTCTAATATTTGCCAACCGAAGTGCTCATTATATTCTGAGGAATTTTTTCTCGAAAATATATTTTTAACCAAAATTATTTTTAGTCTACTAATGGCAAAGGATATCTTGAAACCAGATTGGAGTTATTGACGTATTTGGTGGTATATTACCGTCATACAAACTCATCTTTTATTCAGCCCGGAAAATAGTCGGTACGTGATTGTGATCGTGCAAAACTCTGTTCGACTACAAACGTGGTAACCATACTATACTGTGACGCTCACCACTTCTTGGAACTCTTTATTCGTCGATGGATTCTTGCAAGTGTGACTGAGAAGTTGTACCGGCTTCTTCACTTTCAAAGCTTGAGAACATAGCCAGAGACTGAACAAAACTTGGTAGGCATTGTAAAAGATCATGAGTTTTTTTAGATCGTAGGGTTTCCTCTTTTCCATCAACTGCGGTCCCAATTTCAGCACGAAGTAAAGGTATGCGAGTAGGATTGAAACAACCGGAATCGGGGACTTCATGAAGAGCCAGGAATCAACCAGGGGATCTGAAATCAATAAATATTTGTTATCAGGGTTTCTTTATTGAGAGTTTTTCGATAAAATGTTATTTATCATAAAAGTTTGTGCATCCCCTGAAATTAGACATGCACCAACAAAAAACAGTAAAACACACGTAATATACGAGGAGCCTTCAAATATTTGATTTTGAGTCAGGAGTGAAGTACTCTTATTTTGGAAAATCTACGGAAATGTTATTCACAAAAGTTGTTCAGCAGTGAACAATACATCTAGATTTGAAGTAACGGCCATCTAAGTAGAATTTTGTGTTTTTACCCAGTTTTTCAAATGGGGACTTTGCAAAAAAAATTTGCTAAGACGATAAATAGACAGAATCCTGTAAGGGACGGTTCATTTTAAAAGCCTGTAATATTACAACTTACACAACTATGGTGTTAACCACGGTCAATTGTTCTGAAAAGTAAATTATTTTTCGAAGTTTTTGGTGTAAATTTATTTTGATTTTTTTTAACACCGAAAATTACTCAAAATTATACAGTATTGTGACAAGAATTCAATATTCAATAATATCAAATCAGGAAACATCAAAATGAAATAGGCATTTCGGAACAAACTCATTGGTTTTCTGGAGATTCAACTAAAAACACTTATTTTGAACAAGAAAATCTCCAGGAAATCAATGAATTTGTTCAGANTAGGCAATCTAAAGTCCATTCTCTTTCTAGTGGGGTATTTATGTATTTCTTCATTTCTAATCATATTGCCTTTGGAGATTTCCTTCCTCATGTAGATTAAGCATTCATATATAAAACAGGAAGGAAGTGTTAAAATTCCAAATTGTCTAAAAATTGGTTTACAATGTTCATTGAAACTTTTCCCAGCCATTATCCTGAGTACTTTTTTTTGTAGGGTAAATATTTTAGCTGAGTGACTCGAGGATCCCCATATTATCAAAGCGTACGTCATTGTTGAATGGAATAATGAAAAATATGATATCCTCAAATATTCTTCCGTTAGTTTGCTTTTCAGCTGTCTTATAATATATGTGGCAGTTGAGAGACGTTTTGAAAGATACTTGATATGATATGAAAAATTCAAGCTGTTGTCAAGGTGTAGGTACACCGAGTAATTTTACTGGATCTTCATCTCTTTGTTCAACCAGTGTAAAGTTGAGATTCAGAGTTTTGTCAGAGTCGAGGGAAAGGTAGTTACTCTTATTCCACATCCGGATGAGTTCATCAGAATCTATCATAAGGTCTCCTAATGACCGACTGTTTGTGTCACAATGTATTATTGATACATCGTCAGCATAACCAAAGGGGTGATAGAGGTGCTTAGGCTCTGTATATTGAACATCATATCATTGACATCAATAATAAAAAGAATGGGACCTAGTACAGATCCTTGTGGTACTCCGTGCTCCATGACTACAAAATCGGATACTTCATTTTCCCAGTGCACTCTGGCTTTCCTATTTACCAGGTACGACTTAAATAAATTTAGTTGTCCACCTCTAATCCCGTAGTATTCAAGTTTTCCAGCCATAATCTTATGATTTACCGTATCGAAGGCACGTGAAACATCATAGAACTTCGCGTTACAGTATTCTTGTGTTTTGAAAGACTCCAATACCTACTTTATCACAAACATCACTTAGGGCAGTAACTGTGGATTTTCCAGATCGATAACCATACCGAAAGTTGGTAAGTAACTCATTTTTTTCAAAGAATTCCACCAGTCTAATTTTTAATACAATCTCGAAATTTTTTGCTAGGATGGGTATTATAGAGATGGGACGATAACTATTAGCATCATCATGATTACCTTTTTTAAACATTGGAGATATCTGGGAGAGTTTGAAAACTTCCGGAAAGGTGTTATGCGCAATACAAAAATTAATTAGATGTGTTGAGGGCTCAATGATAAAATCACTGATCAGTTTTATGTTCTGTTCAATTCAAACACATCTTTAGCAGACGAGGCTTTTAGACCCTTTATGATGTTATCAATCTCATTTTCAGTTGTAGGATATAAGAAGATAGATTTGTCTATAGTTGGTGCCAATTTGAGATACCTATAGAAATCGTCATTGTCTCTATTATTCACAAACTGCGTCATCAGATTGTCGATTACATTCACAAAGCATCTGCAGATATATCAGACTTGAATGTTCACTTACTTTTATTATCTCTGTTGCAATTAATACCATTCCAGGCTGCTTTTTGCTTATTATTACATCAGTCTATGTATTCCGAATTACTTTCCAATTTAGATTGCTTAATTTTTTGCTTGTATTCAAGTTTCAACTTTCTATATGCTATAGTATCTTCATCGTTCTTACTATTGTTTGCTATGACTTGAATTGCTGATAGTGAGTTTTTCATCTGGGTTAATTCCTCATTGAATTTAAACTTCACTATTTTTGTTTTTTCCTAACTTTTTTCTTTTGGAAGCATAACGTATATTGACATGACCAAAAATCAGTTAGGAATTTGGCTTTCTTATTTGGACAAGTAGTACTCTAAAATAAGTCATGCTATTTATAAAATCATGTATACTGTTTGCACTCATAGGTCTGCATATCACATTCTCCTTCATTAGGTTTCGAAGCAGTTGAGTTGAGATCAAAAAGGTCTAGAACCGATCCTTGTGGAACATCACAAGTAACTGCTGAACAACTTTTCTAAATAACATATGCCGAGATTTTTCAAAATACGAGTACTTTACTCTTGTCTCAAAATCAAATATTTGAAGGCTCCTCGTATATTACGTGTGTTGTTACTGTATTTTGTTGGTGCATGTTTAGTTTCAGGGGATGCATAAACTTTAATCAAGAATAACTTTCGTCGAAAAACCCTTAATAAAGAAGTTTTCCATATGGTGCATACTTTGGGTTTGACACTGTATACTAAGCGTGTTCTACTTCTTAGTGACGTCAACGTATAACAGGCAAGCGTTGGAAGTACTCAAAAATAGCTCCGTTTTCGATGACTTTTGTTTTCATAGGTATTATTTGAGAGGTAGCGATGTTCCAATTACATAATATCAATACATTCGTTTCAGCTGTTTAGCATCTACAGTTTGTTGGTGAGAGGCATAAAAGTGTTTTGCATGTTCGGCGATTTTCTGCTATGGAAAAACATCGAAGAATTTGAATCAAATTCTGTATAAAAAATGGAAATGGGTGCTCAAAAACACTAGAAACATTGTCAGTGGCATATGGTGATGATTATTGATAATGTTGATTATTTGCTGCCGAGCTGCTGTACTATGTTTCATTCCTAACATAGTACAGTTAACTTTTTTACTCTTTCTATTTGAATAAATTGAATATACTTCAATGACGTAATTCTAGCGTTATCAGTCATTTGTTGTTGTTTTATTCTAAATCGTTGGTTCATTTTGAACCACTTTAATAGGTGGTATTATCTGAAACTGGTACCTCTTATCTAACAGCAACAATGAGTTTATTTTACGAATAATTTTACTTCAAAACTCGTATAATGAACGAATGTACCACGTTGAGGATGAGAGCTCTTACTTGGTAATTCCTCCCTTTAAGAACCTTTAATGATTTTCATAAATTTTTTGTGTTCAATAACAATAACAGTTGGGAGCCGGTCGGTTCGACGTGGGTGCTTTGTTCACTCACTCAAATTGACCGCCGTGTTGGTCGGTGGTTCAAGCTCCAGGCTGAAAGAGATCTATTTTCACTTGCTATCGTCCAACCCGTGTTAATAATCGCACGCTTAAAGGTAAGACCTCGTTAATCCTTAGCTCACACAAGTTTCGACTTCTGAGGGTTATCGTTCGTAGGGATGCGACAGCTACGGAAAAAAGATTTCAAACAGATTCTTTTCGTTTTCAAGATGGAGCCTCGTGAACAAACTGCCCTCAAGAAAGTCTCCTTTATTATATTCATATTGGGCTTGGCACTTTGAAGATCTTTTTTTTGGGTATCAACGGCATCGACTGCTTGGTCATTAGCTTCGTGTTCTGGGTAGACACCAAGCCACCAAGAGCAGCCATGTAACGTTCCAGAATCATCCTAATCTCAACTGGGTGAATTCCCTCGAGAAAAATATTCAAAAATATTTGGTCGAAATTGGTATCCACCTCATCACCTTTTGATCGCGAGTCAAGCGCTGGAAATCTATCGATTCCACTTGAATCTATATCATCCAGAAATTCATATTTCTATAAGAATTTTAATTGACTCACTCGTAAATAACACTATTTTTGTTACAATTCCCGATCCGCTTGTTATATAGCCGTAATTGGCAGCAGGAGGTTTCATATCCTAAAGAGGATCTATAGGTGATTTTGAATTGGAGATAACCAGGTTCAAATCAAACCCAGGCATCGGTTTTCTCCAAAAAGATCAATGTCTCCGAATCGGATATAATTATGTTAGGGCAGACAATCCCGCTTTGTTCCTCGTCGCTGAATACAATTTTTCGATAAAGATGTGGATCTTCCTCCAACTTTACCAGCGCCCATTCACAAAATGTTAGACGTTGTGGGAGATCGTGTGGCTTCAATTCTTGCACCAGCTGTATCTTATAAAAATTCTTTCGCAAAATTTTCCACGTAGTGGAGTAACAGAGGCCCCATTGCTGCGAACGGCGGCGAATCGGCATGTCACGGTCATTACGAACACTGGCGGATACAGCCGCAATATTTTCTTCGGCCCTCACTCTACGTATGCGTGTTGGTGGTTTAATGTCCAATAATGTAAACTGGGTTCGAAATTAATCATTTGCAAATTTGTTGAAAAAGTTATATTCAGTTTGATATGTAAATTTTAGATTTCATTATTTGTTAAGAATGTGAAATAATTATAAAACATTCACATATTTCGTATATTTTTCGTATATTCGAATATTTTCATACAAACTAGTTTACTATCAGCTTTCTGGACATCATTGTAGTGAATGTGGTCACGTGTATCAAATAGTAAAATTTCTAAACCAGTTAAATATTCCGAACAAAAACGAAAGTAGTCATTTTCAGTAAATGTCATCGTGAATATGTCGACACCAATTTTTTTTGCGAGCATTTATTCAACTTGCAATGTTTTTACATATGTATAGTAGGACGAGAATAGACGATGCAATACATTCTTTTGAATAGCATTAATTTCAAGCATGCTCACTGACTATACGCGAAAGATTTCTTTCCTTATACGGGGAAGGTGTTTCGTCACTAGGGTACGAAACTTCAGTCTTAGGGTGATTCGTAAGGTTGTTTAAAAAAAGTTCTTACGGGGTTGCATCGATTCTGAGAAACAGGGCGTTGAAGCTTGAAAAAAACTATATTCATAAAATATTATAAATTTCCTCAAACCGAGTTGGTTGATATTTGCTACAGTTATTCGACGTAAAAGGCGCTTATTTACCCCGAACTGGATTAAAATTATTAGGTCCAGTGACGTCTAAGTGGGCACCACAGCAAACTATATTGAGAAAAAAAGAACGCCACTAACTTTGTTGTAGCTTTAAACTTTTTTAGATTGGGCAACTAAATATACAACTTTTTCGTCGCTTGTTTTCTTCGAGAAAAAAATCACTTCTGGAAACTATCCATGGGCAACATAAAATAAAAACTAAGTGGGTAAATGATCTCGCAAAAAGTCCCTGTAGAATTTACCTCTTGATCTTGCTGGTAGAAAAAATGGAACAATTAGGCCCATTAGCTTTTTCTAATCGGGGCGTTGTTATAGTTTCTGGTGTTCCACCACCTGCATTTTTATTGAAACTCCCAGTTTCACATAATCTTGCATGTGGTGATCTAAATCTTTCAGCACATGGGATTTATCTATGCTTCTTCCGCATTTCCATTTGCTAATTCATAAATGAAGTGTATGTCAGCCATTTCAGTGTTAGTAAAATTACACAACACAACAAAAAAATATTTTTTGAATGTTTCCTACACTAAATTAGTCAATTTCTACTAATTTTGGAATGATAAAAACGAAAATAACAATGAAAAATTTTTATTAGCTCTGGTTTTTGAGATACACAGTACTTAATCTTAATATTGTTATGTTTCTTTTAGAATATTTTAAGTGCAAAATTAATAAAAAAAACATTATTCTTAGTGTTTTGACAAATAAAAGAAGTTTCTACCACCAAATTTCAATTAAGTCCATCCGATTCATTGTAAGATCGCTGTCGTTTAGCTTGTCTTTTATAAAACACTTCTGGAGCATCCCTACACACAGACCANTTACTACTTAAGAACAGCTGATGAGAGGGGTGTTATGTAAACAAACATGTGTACCAACTGTTGGTGATGAAATATTTCATTTGTTGAAAACTCAATATACATATATATAATATAATGATACTATATCTTGAAAACAAGAGCTAATATATAATTTTTATGGTCACTTTCGGTTTTAACACGTGGAAATACATTAAAATCATCTAATTTCAACCCCGAAACAAAAACTTTGTTGTGTTGTGATTCAAGATGGAATGACTGCTAATTGACATGTCTGATTTTCACAGATATGATAACATTATCACTGTCATCTGGTCTCCAAAGCAGGCGACATGTAGTATGCAGTGGCTTCAATTTTTTTTTCATGGAAACGAAGCTAGATATGAAGAAAATACATACGACAAGTAAGTTGTATTTTTAGTTGATTGATCTGAAAAATTTAAAAACTATAATAATAAGTCACTAGCGTACTTTTTTCCCAATATTGTTGTCTGTGGTGTCCAGTGAAACTCCAATGGAAATAATATCAATCTAGCTAGGACTTGATGTCCTTCAAATAACTGTAGCAAATTTCAACCAAATCGATGTAAGGTTATTTATGATATTTCATAAGAACAGTTTTTTTTAAACTACAACGACCTGTATCTCAGAAACGAAGTAACTCCGGACATATGTTCATTAAAACTGGAGTTTCGTACCGTAGTTAGGAAACACTCTGTATAGTATAAATTGAGTTATTCTTTCCATGATAATAATAACATAATTTCACAATAATTATTTTTGATAGTTCTACAATAATGTTCATAGATAGTGATATTAACTTTCATGAAGCAACGGGTTAGATTGTATCCATTATTTGGAGTGTGTACCTGATTTAATGAGGTGGTGGGTTTGATTGAAAATAAAAATTTTTTTTCAGGGCAGTTGAATAAAAGCTTGTTCATGAGAATTATCCTCCTAAATTGATTTTTGGGGATGTTGTCACCAATTTATCAAAATTTTAATGAATTTATAATCTTTTTTGGAATCCACTTGTATATATCCACTGGATATATACTCCTGAGAGATGAGATATTTGGTGCTGTCTGTCTGTATGTGTTAGTTGAATTTCATTTTTGTTCCAGGTCGACATTCCTTGTACAATTGATAATTTTTTTTCATATTCACAAATATATATTATCTACTACAGGTTGATAAATAATATCTGATATATCTGGAGGTCGGTGGCCCTAGACAGCTTTTATTTTTTTAATTTATCTCATAAGACAATTCCAGCTGAGAATTTAGTACATTCATTCCATTTGTTTCGAATTTGGAAATTCAAATCAGGAATGTGGCAGTTTGACTGTTACAAAACGACTCTTACCCATGAATCTTCATTGAAATTCTTAAACTATGATGGGAAAGAGTCATTATGGAAAGTATCTACCTGTATCAACTATTTATGATCAGTGTCAAGTAATAAACATCAATAAAATCCAAAATAATCAGAGTATTGCTCGTGGGAGATTTTTCATTGTAATAACATTTATGGTAACTGACATACGTTTTTTGCAATTTCATCACACTTCAAAACCAAAAGTTGGTTATTGTAAATTGTTGTTGAAACCATTGACTTCATTTTTAAAAACGTATTTGTCACCTCTAGCTAGATAACAAAAATGAAATCACGAAACCTGTAATTTCAACTTCAGCCAAAACATGTCTCACAGAGGCTTCTGAAAATTCAAATCAGACTGATAATGAATAAATAACTGTTAACTATTTGACGAAATAATTTTGAAGGCAATTATTAGTATTCTGATCTAATAGTTCATTCATACATCCAGAATGGTAATGTTGATTCTTGTCATTACTCATGTTTGGCAGCTAATGAATCAACATTCAATCCATGATTATAGCCATATACATAATACTTTTGTCAACGTTTTTTAATCCCATCTCCATATAAATTATATTCTACTCATGCTTGAATATATCATTAGACTATCATTATGCCATTCAGATATAAGAAACCCACTGATGATGTCTGGAATTCAAAGAATATCATCTAACTGAAAATACCAAATGGTGGATCACATATTTTTTCACAACTATTATAAATGCTTATAATTAGATTATTACTTCAATTTAGTTTTGAAAACTACAAAAGAGTACACTTGGATAAATAACTTACTGATAAGTAGTAAATTAATCTAATCGTCAATTGCCTTTCAATTTTGGTAGATTATTAAATTTCAAGGAATACTACTAGTTCAAATGTCACTATTGAAATAAATAAAGTATAATAATGGCCCTAAAAATCTACTAATATTATTGTGATAGTAACAATTTTAAACTCACCTCTTGATTCGACGAATTCATTGTAATTTTCCACCATTGCGTGCATCAATGAAGACATGTTAACCTAAAAAAAAATCAATTGTCACTGAAAGTTTCGATTGTATGTCAAATACTGTCATGGCTTATACTATAAATATTATTATTTTGACATATTTTGCAGGGAAACCAAATGAAAGGACTGTCATTGAAATATATTCTTGATCTGTCACGAGAAAATAAATTATTATATAGTCAACTCTTGATTATTCGAAATACAAAGGACTACAAGAAAAATTAGAATTATCGAGTTTTGCATTATCCAGAGTTGATTGTAAAGTGTATCTTGCATGAGGAAAAGTAATTGTATTGTGCCATTGCTCATGAATAATAACATAATTTAGGAAGGATTGGTATTTGAGTTACTCTTTACATGAAATTTAAAATTTCAAAAATCACTTCCAAGACTGTACTGGGATTCAATTTATTTTTCAAAATATTGAAGACATTTATTTGTTTACTAGTGAATACCAATGATTTCAAGACGATTCCCAATTCTTATTAATTCATTCAATGATGAGGTACTTGCAAGTTTCGATATATTCCCTTGGATGTCGATGAAATCCTTTTATTCATCACTTGTCTTTACTTGGTTCTCTAAATTATAATTCATTCACTCCAGAATATTTAGGTACTAGAAATTCAACAGCTATTTTGTCACATCAAAAGGTTTTCTCAAATATTGTTGACGTCACAACTCTGCGTCATTATTTCAAAGCGAATGTGGTTACAATTTTCATGTCACCAAGTGAGCAAAATGCATCACGTATACCATATTTCTATTAAAACAACGTTAGCTAAGCCATCACAATCAACGGCAAGCACTATAGGACGATGTAACTAAATTCTTTTGGCTTGAATTGGACATGTGGAAGATCAAACTTTGTCTTGAAGATTATCACTTGGTGATCGAAACACGTGTCAACATGTTATAAAAAGGGTTTGGTGTCGGTATAGAACTCCAGAAATATTTATATGACATAAAGCTTGTCGCGAGTTTATCTATGTAGCAACTATAGTCCGTTCATAATTTGTTGATAGCTCACTGCAAGTTTGACCCTCATTAGAGAACTGAAATACAGAGAGGACAGCTAATATGATATAATAACAAAAACCAAACTAAAACTGGCAGTTTAAGATGTTTTCGACTAACCCACCTTGTATCTGAAGAAATACAATACAACTATAAAACTTTTAATCCGATTATGTAGGTATTTTGAGTGG